AGAACAAGCTTAGCAAAGCACAGGGACCGCAGTTCAATCCCCCAGCACCACATGCCAGCCAGCCCCGCCCCCTGGTGGGCTGAGCTGGCCACACACACAGAAAGAAAGAAAGAAATGTAAAAAAAAATAAAGTGGGGAATGTTTAAGAAAGAAAGAAAGAAAGAAAGAAAGAAAGAAAGAAAGAAAGAAAGAAGGAAGGAAGGAAAGAAAGAGAATGAGAGCATGACTTCAGTGCAAGCCCACCCCGTCTTGTTCCAAGGGCAGATGTGATTGCATTCCAGCCTGGGGCTGATGGCCCTGTGGACTCTGGGGACAACATTACAGCTGCCACAGCCAATATGTAGTGTAGCAGTTACCCACTTAAATGACAGTATGTGACCATCCGTTAGTGAGTACTCAAGTGCATGAAAGTAAATTATTAGGTCCTGATCATGCCTACATGGTAATGTAATGAATTCAGTTGGAAACATCAAATTTTATTTTCATAAAGAAACCATTTCTATCAAATTAAAGTCTTTATAGAAATACATTCTACACTAGGATAGAATTACCATTTTTTTTGAAAGAACAGTCATCGCTTATTAAAACCTGGATATATTTTCTAGCTCAAAGACTACTTAGCTACATAAAGATAGACAAATATTGTAATTTGAAAATAGACTTAATTTGCAACAAAACAAAACCCTTCATAATACTATTTCTAATTGATTTGTAGTCACAAAACAAAAGTATATTTAAAATTTCAGCAAAAAACAAAAAATTACATTTTGCATTTAGAGCTAGCAATTATCACATTGACAATATTGATTTATATTTTAAGAAGCTCAGATACACTGGATAAACTTGATCTTTTTTTTACCATGAAGGTCAATTTTGAATTATTTTCCCGCTAAAAATATTTGATTATAATCCCACTAGTCTGTCTCAAACTGTTAAGAGCTCCTTTGAGCCAGGGACACAAAGAGTGTTAAAGTAAGAAAGGTGTCGTAGAAGTTATTATCTAGAACAAGTGCTGTCTAATGTAATACAATTCAAATCTAATATACAATTTTAAATTTTGCTACCCACACTTTGAAAAGTAAAAATCTTAAACTAATCATGGTGTTGTTAATCCAATATATCCAGATTATGATTATAACAATATAGTCAGCATTAAAACTCAATTCGCAGTATGCCTCGTACCTTTGGCACATCCCTTAGTCAGTAGCCTCATGTAGCTTCTGTACTAGACAGTGCAGGTCAGGGTACATTTTATTTTAAGCAAAGTGAATTTGGATTTCAGTGCTTAGACCTGAGCTGCTTCAGTTTTCCATGTTGAAGAGCTAGTGAGAGGCCAACAAAATGTTTCAGAAATATTAGAATGAAAATGTTTGTTGGCTATTACTATTAATAGGCCTCAGAGATGTATTTCTCAGCATGACTTCAAAGAATAACATGGAGCCAGTGAGATATAGCTCAGCAGACTCATGCGCCTGCTTAGGCAGGAACGGCGGTTCAATTCCCAGCAAATGCCGCGCCAGCCCTGCCCGTAGGATGGGCTGAGCCAGCCACAAAAAATAAAATAAAATAAAATAAAATTCCTGGGCACATTTCCATTGTCTCTATCATCCCTCTGACCCCTTTTTGAGCCCTGGAATACTGACTACGGCTTAAATAAAGTCACCTGAGTGCACCCGTAAAGTCAACAATATGCTTACTAAAATCTACCATATGCCAACCACATATCCCCTTTGAGAAAAGATTACAAGCAGGATCTGGACTTTTATTCCTGGACTAACGGAACACGCTATGTCACAGGCAACATGTCTTTCTGGAAATAACTGAAACATACAAATGTGCCTGATGAAGACTGTATGTTAATAGTGATATCATGTCAGTTACATGAAAAAGAAGACGAACTGTTGACTGGCAGGTTTTAGATTTCCTTCAAAGGGTTTAATCAACACTGCCATTATACATGAATTTTAAAAAAGACTTTTGAAATTTTTTTACGTACTGATTTTAAAACAATCATCAAGGTTCTATAGCCATTTTTAATGGCAAACTTAAAAATAATACTTTGTCTTTTACTATGACCTCAATTACATGGTATTTCAACACATCCTGCAGTTTAGAAGGCTTAGCGATGCCCATTTCCAGTTTCACATGCAAAGTAATTGCTCATGGTTGCCTACAAGCACAAGCAGATGACTTACAGGGAGATGTTTTATAATTCAGTTTTTATTGTACAGAAGCAGCTGGTTGTATTTCAAATTGGAAAAAGAAAGGTAAATGCCAGAAAAGGCAAAGGAGAAATTTGGTAAATCATTTATCCTGGTTAGGATTGTCCTTGCAAAGCAACGAGAAGAAAACAAACAACAAGATCAATAAAGTGAATTAGCATCAGGTTATTACTGAAGATTGACGCCATTTATAACTGACACATACTCAGAGCAGAATCAATTACATAATTACGGTGCCATTGTGTAATTTACTTGTCATTGCAAAGTATTCAGTCTGGTTATATAGTTCTACTTAAGACAATGGAAAGTTTCCAGACATTTACCTAATAGATTTTGTAATATCTTTGTTTTTACTGTCTATTAGGACATATTCTAATTTCTTCAGTGTTCATCACTAATACATTCCAGATCAAGGTCATTAGCGACATGTGTGCATTTACAGTTGAATACTACTTAATGATGAGACTGTGTGTCTGCGATGTTTTTAAAAATCTCTTATGCACATGTGATTTCAGTGATTATTATAATCGTACCACATAAGAAAATGAAATATACACAATACTTTCCTAAAATATATTTTTTAACAGCCATTCAGTCCCCTGATACATTCAGGGTACATTGCCAGCTTTTGACAGATTGCATGACTTTAACTTCCTGTCACGTTTCAGTCTGCTCCCTGTCATCTGGCCCAGAGACCCACTTAGGGCAACACACAAGCCTCCTCGTGAAGGCAGAACATCTGACAAATTCACAAGAACCAAACACTGCTGTAGAGAAGATTCCAGGCATCCAACCTGGTGAAGCTGAAATAAGCCAAGTAGTGGAAAACTTCTTCCCTGTTCCAGCTAACAGATTGGAAGCGATCTGTTTGAATATTGGTTATATTCCCACTGGCCAATAATGCAAAACTGAGAGTCTTTTTCCTTGTCGTGATTTGTTACCACTTGTCCCAAGTTATGATTTTTAGTTCAGCACTACGTCCTCAGGCTAGTACTGTGAGGTCTTCTAAATCCTTGGCAAAAGCGTCCCAGCCTAGCAGGAGAAACATGGGATCCTTGCTGAACCAGAATTTAATATAAAATTCTAAACAGCAATGTTAAGACTGCAAATTCATGTTATACTTGTAGATGGTTGTTTTCAGTGCATTTTGAAGATCAACCTGGAAAACCTATAGATATGAAATATATGTATCCAACAGAATCTTTACTGTGATTGTGTAAAAATGGCAAATACTTAGTTTTCAGTCAGATTGAGTAATCCTTATTTTCCATACAAAGGATTATTTCGAGATACCCAAATACAATAGATTTTATGAAAGCTGTTCTTTTTCCTGAGCTCTCTTCCAACTCTCATGATCAGTTGTAAATGGTAAAAATTTTCTACATTCCTCTTTTCTTTGTCCTTTGCTTGCTACATGGATAAAATGTAATCTATTTTTAAATGGTGCAATTAAGTATGGCCATAAATTGAAAATTATCATCTCATAATTGCCTCCCTTTGACCTGACCTATTTTATATAGCAAATAGTAGCATAGATTATAAAATAGTACATTTATTACTTATTAATATTTTCTATTCTTAGCACCTTTCATCTCAGTAATATTTTCACAGTCATCTGTAAATCTAAAGAATGTTCTGTGTCCATTTATTATACAGTTGAGTCAAAATGGCATCATAGTAATGCATTATTCTGTATCTCATCAGCAGTGCTTCCCTCAAGATTCTAAAATGTCTTGTGAGTTCAGTGAGTGGGAACAGTTGATTTAGAGGTTTAAGTAATTCTTTATGCCCAATTACCTAAGGATACAGACAAAAGAGAGCATTCAGTAGAGGGGCTAATGTTAACATTCACTTTTGCTTGCGTAACAATCACTCATTTATCTATCTTTTGGAGATATACATATAAGACATGCATCTTTTAAAAAATAATTCTCACATGATTCACCAAGGAACTAAATTTAAATCTCCAAAGGACAGCTTTTAAGCATGAGGCAAGTAATGGTTCACAGAGCAAATCTTTTTATTGGAACACTCACTGCCAAACTCATTAATCTGTTGTTTATCTTCCATCTGCCAGGGAAGGTGGAGTAAGTTTTATTGGCAAATACAGTAAGCCACAGCACCTAAAATGTCTATTGAGCCCTTCATAGGAGAAAAAAAAAAAAAAAAAGATGCCATTATTTCCATAGTACACTGTTTTTGTTTCGCCCCTTTGTTTAGGGCCTTTTATGCCGTTGCTTCTGGTGAAGTTTAGGTGAATTTTGTCTCCTGTTGGAGAGATGTCACAACAGTAACTGTGCTGAACACGCAAGAGAAATGTCCCTGTAGAGCTAAAATTTAAAATTGTGTCACTCCTGACAAAAGGAAATTTAGTGTACAAAGTGAATGAGCTGAGAGTGGAAAGGAAGAGTTCTAGTATTTTGAATGTGTTGTAGAAATTTGACCTTAATATTTTTAAATTGTATGAATGACACAATGCACTAGCATTTGGTAGCATTTAAGTCAGTCTGCAGCTGTTCCTTAGTAAGCTAAGAAATGACAGTCCTTTGGTTCTGCATCTCAGAATATTCTGAAGTGCTTTCTATTAGTCAGATTTTCATGAATAATTTTTAGAAAATAATATTCTTTCCCATGTGATTTTCTAGGAGACAATGACTTGCACATCAATAATTC